AGGGGAAGTCTCCTGTGGCATAAACTGATAGTAGCAGAATGTCTAAGAACTAATTATTGCAGGACATCCCTCGGGAGTTAATCGGAGTCAAATGCACACTCTGTCGGAATGCTAAAAACAAACTGCCAGTTAATGTTGCCCGAAAATGCAATGCATTAGTAACATACGTGGTCTGTGTGAGATGACATTTTCTAATCAAGGTAGGTGCCTTCACTATGCTACTTGTTACATTCAGTATACAGTTTAGTTTTTTCTATCACAGTCAAAGTTTTACTTAAGATAAATCTAAATATGCAAATTGAGTAAACAGAGGAGAAATCCCTCAGGAGGCAGTTCCGTAACCGTTTTGTTATCAGAAACTCTGGAAGGGCATGTATTAAATGTTCGAAACTGCATCGAAAGCTTTCATGTTTGAGTTTCGGCGTTATGTGACCATTAGGGGGAAAAAGAAAGATAATGATGCTTTTAAGAGAGCGTGGCCAGCACAATACGTCCAGATGCCACGGACTACGCATAACAAGTAGCTATAGTATTCGGAAGGAACTTCGATTCCACCTCCACTAACAGGGGCTTTTGAGCGTTTCTCAAGCAGAAAACTCATCTTCCAACAGGGATGCCCGTGATAGGTATTCCCATAGTAATCCATATGTAGGCTTGTTAAAACGATACAGAACCTTTCTCTTAGCATTTCAAAGCCCCATTTTAGTATTTTAACGGCTATACCTACCTGCCTGTAACCTCCCCTATACTGCATTATACTGAATTTCTTTTGCCTGCTTTTTACAAGGTAATTTGTGGTCCAGTGTCTTGGTCAAGTGAGTATTAGTGAAGACATTGGGCATCTAAAGTCAGGCTAATTACTTGAATTTACGGAAGCGGGACCTTCAACTGGCCCAAACATCGCGTTGGCTCTTGCTGGAAGTCGCTGATTCACTTGCGAGACGTGCTGCCAGTAAAATAGGTTCATGATTATAATACTTTTTCGTGTTGCCTCACGAGAGCCGTAGGTGAACAACCATTTGTCAGAACGCTATTAAGCAATTGGTCTCTTCGAAAGCAAGTACTTTCCGTTTAAAATTTCTAACATAATTAAAAGTTCGGTTTCAAAACTTCACAATTTAAAAACGACAGTGCGGGCTTAATAAAGTTCAGGAAACATCGTCGTTTCGCGTCAGATACTCAAATATGAAAAAAAAGATAGTGTTCTCTTTTAGAGAAAAACGCTTCTATCCACCATTTATCAATCTTCTTTGCTCAGAAAACTGGTTTTTAAAAGTCAAATTGGCCTTTGTGATTCGAAAACAGTTTAGTTGCAGTCGCTACATTAACCATGAATTTCACTTCTGCGGTGCGAAAATGTGAAACGTTTATTTTTCTTTTCGGTCGTTCTATCTACATGCGCAACCGCCACAGTCGATAGTGGAACCTACATATATAACATGCAGTTGAGAAAATGCTTTCGATCATAATGAAACAAAGCCAATCAGTAGAAGACTGAAGACAAACTTAATGTAATTGATATCAGATGATAGAATGAGAACCATAGTAGAAGGAAATGGACGAAAGAGTACTTTTATCTACACACTCTCCCACTGTTAGCAGATCTAATAAATGTCGGTTTTTGTAAGACCTACCACTAAATGAAGGTTAAGGGATATGCCAAATGAATAAAGAAGGATTAAAAAAATGTAACTTACGCCAATAACAGGGGCCGCAAGCTTGCCTTGACACCGACTCAAATTCAAAACCCTCAGGTTTTCCAGGTTTTTCAGGTGACCAAATGATTTGCAATCACTGGGTGGCTTATCGCCAAACTTGTTTCGCATCAGACTCAACTGCTCCAATTTTTTGCATTTAGCCGTCTCAAGAGTATGCATGACCTTGAAAGAAGAAGGGCAACAGTCAGTGGCTCCCGAAGGCAAGACACTAGGAAAGCTAGACCAAAATACGGAGGCTGCTACTGCTTCCTTTTATGTTCATATCAGCTCAACAGTAGTATACTCTCAAATACAATCGAGGTGACCGTAAACAGAAACGGCGTCTTGACCGACAAGCCTGTTCGCTGAATAAACCTCGACTTTATTTATCTTACCGATCCACTTAAGTCTTTGTGATATTAGGTTGGTAACAGTTTCCTTGTAATGAGGATAGGCTGTAAAGAATATTTGCTTGGCCCACCATAAATCAATCCACGAGTTAACTAAATTTACAAAGAAATCAGAACTTGGCATTGATTAAATTTTTTCTCGCTTTGTATAGTACAAGCTTAGAAAAAGCCAATCCTTCCATTACTGCTTACTGCAATCCAAAGAATAATGGAAGTTATCTGAGCTTCCACAGTACGCATTTGACAAAACCAACGATCGCCTCACTATTTTGACGAGCAGAAACTGACAGAACCCGTCAGCAGCCACAACTAAATAGATATTTTGAGATTAGTTCACTAATTAAGCAAAAGAGAATTACACCCAATTGGGAACTCAGCATGGATTATGGTAAACTCCATCTCCTTCATATATAATTTGAAAAGTACTCAAGAAAAAAATTATAAATTACCTTATAATGAAATAATTTTTCATAAATTATGCAACAAGAGTTCTGAAAAAACTGACTCAATGTATCCCTTTTTTCGGTCTTTTTATGCAAAACGTGTCTACGGGATGGACCGTAAGCTGCTGTCTGATATGGAAGTGAAACCTCTGTCATCATAACCTTCGATCTCCCAAGCAAAAAACAACACTTGGGAAAATTAGTAGTTGGACGTCTCGTTAGCCACAAACATACACCTTCACAGTACGAGGTAATCAGGAAATTGATAAAAACGCGCATTTCGCTCTGAAGGCTGTGGAGGAAGTCCTTATCACTGATAGGGGGGCTTAACTACCACACAGACCGCACTCCGATGTCAACGTAAAATTTCAACGGACGCCGGTAAACGCGATCGTTGCGATTGACCGAACCAAGCAATCCATCTACGCGCGCTACACACGGTCTGGTTCTTACCACATCACTCAACATAATTTAAAGAGTCTCGGAGCCCACATGGATGAAATCGCGCAAATGAACAATTCGTCTTTATTTGTTTTAAACTTGGGTCCTCGGTCTATAGCGTAAATCAGAGACAATAAAAAGCTATAAACGACTTTCGCTTGGAAGAATAGCAGTACTTTTGCTCAAAAATGTTGGTTCGCAAACGTACAGTGTTATGCCAAAATACCTAATACCAGACTTAGTAAACACGTTCTCGATTGTCACAATGTAGATTCATACGCTTTTAAACCTACTGACTGCTACACTTGAATTCAAGGTTTGCAAACTGCGCAGCATTAATAAATAAATTGACGGATGTGATATAAAATGAATATATATTTCACAATCGTAAAAAACCTCATGATTCGAAACTGTTTTTTTTAAACCGAAAGGTACGCTTTCTTTAAGTACGAAATTTAGAGAAAGTGTGATTTCCTACCAAACGAGTACAAGAAATAATTTTTTCGTGTATTTTTTCCATAAAATGTATTTCAATTTATAAAGGCAGTCAAAATCAATGATAGAGAGGCATACTACTTAAGTAGCCAATTTTTACAGTACATAGGTTTTGTTAGCGGTCAGAACGAAGATCATTACAAAGCCGGCATCCTATCCTGACCGAAATGACCTCAGAACAGACTACATGGTAATCAATATTACAACCTTCCTCAGTGCCGATGAGCGAGAGAGTATCAACCTTTCGCATATGTCGGCATGTTACACGAATTTTAGGCCGTACTGTATATCTGCGACCTCTTGAGAAAGAAATTCATAGTCTCTTTTGGCTGAATTAAACGAAGCAGATGGAACGCCAAGGAATTCTGTGCATGAGAAGAACTCACGCCGCACTTATTGAAACCTAAATTCACACAATAAAGGCAAAAGGCTCCCGGAAAATTCATACTAGCGGGTTATTGAAACATTAATTTTTATAGTACGTTTTAGACAGTCCATTTCCGCTTTCCGTGTGTAAAGCGGGTTGCATACCTGCACACGTTTGGGCTTTCCTCGAAATTTAGCTTTTTCAGGGGCCTTTTTATTTGCCAATAAATTAATGCAAACTTGGATATCCCTCATCCTTACTCAATCTATTTTTTCTTAAGTCTGCTCTTCTAAATCAAGTGGAGGTGCTGGCTGATTTACTCGCAATTTCTCAATCATTTAAAATAGTTCGACAATCTCGTCAAATGCTGTTAATATAGGAAAGCATTCGGCCATATACCCGATTTCTAGACTGAATGTGGATCGGCGTTATTACGTCTTGGGTCTTCGGATCTAAAACACCTGTGGCTGGTAGAGAAGAGACTATCAAACAAGCAAGAGGAATTGATACAAAGAAAAAGGAGAGGCTAAGATGGTCATTTTATGTTAAGCCGATAAGAAATACCCTCATAAGATATGGAAGCATAAAAATAGCCTTGAGGCTGTCACCTGAAAGACGTTCAATTGGCAGTCGTCCAGTTGCAGATCCCGCAGGTGCGGTGAATTGTTAATCAGAAACGCAAGGTCCTATAAGAAAGGAGATCAGGTGAGTGACTTAATTTATGCAAAAAGGTCGCCACTGCCACCTACCAGTCCTCCGAATCGCAGTTTAATATGAAGAAAAACGATTCTGTCTTTTAGAACAATGCTGGATGAAATAGGGGGCCAATTTACATCGATTAGTTCAAATGCATGTCATCAAACTTGGGATGGTTAGGGTATGTGCTGATATAGCGTACAATGCTTACATGAGATATCCTTCGCAAAAGTAAGAAAATGTAAAATTAAAAAGTGTTTAACTTGTGACTTTTTTGCTTAAAAGTGTTCTGCAGGCTATAGTTGAGATAACATAGTGGGCTACTATTTGATTTCCAAATAACAAATTGCGTGGTCTCCAGAGTCTTGGTATCCCTGCGAAAGTCAGCTGCTTGACCTAGGCTTCTTCTTCAAACATGGTGAACTATCGAAGTGCACTTATTGAATCGAGAAATCTGTGTCTTGAATAATAAAGTGTAAAAAGTTGGCTGCTGCAAAAAAATGCTATAGTACGTTATGAAGTTGCCAACTTTGAGTAAAAAAATCCTACTAGCAGTGTTTGTTGTAAAGATAACTAACCAACACCCTATTCTAACAAAGTTCCTACTAAAAAGCAACAAAATTCGGATGAAATTGCATTTTTATTCCTGCAGAAGACGTGGATATTTGTATAAGCTGCCGTGTTACACTCAGTAGTGAACATGCCCATCTGAAAATCCACCGTAACGACCAGTGTGGCAGAGACAGTGTGTCATGCTAGTGGAGCTTTTAGTGTTTTAATTGCTAGTCTTTACAAGGTACATGGTCTCTTGCCTTCCTCCATTTTCTGGGACGTCTAGTGAATAACTGTGTTGCAAATTCAATGAAGCTTCGAAATCTACTAAAATTGAAACACGACTAATCGCCTAGTTTCAGCGTGGGAATCTGACCGATGGGGGAAAATAGACCTCCGAATTTTCCAATATCTCCTCCTCTCCCATTGTGAAATCACCTACTGTTACTATACTGCTCGTGCCCTAATTTACTCCGCAATGAAACTTTCTGATCTCTTTATTGAACTTTCCCGTTCTGAACTCCCAGTTTACCTCAAATAAAATGCAAGCTCCCTTGATCTTGTCTTCTTTTGATTGTATTTAAAATCCCTTCAGTATAATTGGCATGCTAAGATGGGGAGATCAGGAAGAAATATCACGCTCCCATCAAGGTAATGTCAACAAAAGTACCTCAAATAATTTCACCGACTCTAAGTATTTTCTTTTTGACCTCCAGAAGCCATAATTTGTTGTTTTTTATTGAAACTTGGTTCGAGTCTTCTGAAAACGGAATATTTTGACTGTGCACTCACTGCAAAACAGCCATGTTGAGTCATTCATAAAAATAAACTCAGCATAAGATAGCTGATACTAAAGAAACCCAGACCAGACCAAAGGTAGGAAACAATTTTGATTTCCGGGATGACGGCATCGATAATTTGGTCATATCCTCTCAGCTGGTTGCAAATAAATAGTCAGTACTTGACGAGGGAGTAGATCTGCACCAATTAACAAACCTCTAAACGACTCTACTGCCATGTCCTGACCGAGGATGGATAATGGAATCTCAAAATGATAAAAAACCTGGGGATTTTAAAAATCTCAGAAAAATGTTTCATTCATATTTTCATATATTTCAGGAAGTAAGACTTATCAGCCGTATGCTCTGAATAATTCAGTATTTCCAACGGTATGTCAGAAAGTTAAAGGTACACGTGCAATTGCCACCCAAAGGCTTTCAAAGGAACGCGAGCATGTTTAATCACGCAAAGTTGTTGTTTTTGTCGTTTCAGACCCTGACACTTCGCTATAGCACATAAAAAATTATGAAGATGACCTGGGGCGTAAAACTGCATATTTTTTGCTGCTATTCGTAAAAAGCAAAAAGGCTTTTGCGTCATGATGCGGCCAACAGACGTCACAAGCAGTGTTGGACATGGGGCTATCAAAATTTCATTACCAAATGTCATTTCAAAGCTCTCGTTGACTATCTCACTTTCACTAATCATACTTAAATTCTTAGGTCTGAAATCTCCATGTTATCTGTCATATCTGCACCACCTGGCAGGTGGTCTTTCCTTGCATCAGAGATTTATCTCAATCAGCGGCGCAATAAGCCTTTAAATGCTGATTTCAAATTGGAAAACAAAGGACAGACAGTTTCGTTTACTGCGACTTTGTGGTTGGCCACAGACTTTTTTCTCCAACCCCGGACTATTTTTGATTGAGGTGCGGTTCTAGAGGACTGGTGAGACGAGCCTATAGCGAAAACAGCGCAGTCCCCGAAGATAACATGTGTTGAAAACTTCCGTGACGTAAAGCCGACAAGCAAACATGCAAATGCCTGCATACCCTCCATATGAAGCGCAGATTCGTTTATAAAAGTTTATGAACGGAAAAAATTGTTGGGTGCCTTTTAATCCTAACAGGAAAAAAGGCACATAGACAACGTACTGCAATTTTGATCCTATTTCCACTCAGACAGAGACTGATTAAGGGAAGCGTGTTCACAGCAACATTTTCGGGGCTGCTTCGGAAACCAGCGGTCAAATTTGATACATCCTCTTCGCTCAAATTCTGGTTGGCAATTCGAAATTCCACGAGATTTTTGGCAGTGTTTGCAGCAAGGCTTATAATTGCTGACTCTTCGTGTTTGTCCTTTTCGTTCTTTGATTTATGAGAAACGTCCAACAGTCGAAGAACAGAGAATGGTGATAGGAATTTGAAGGAATCTGATATCAGGCCTCTGTGAAAAGGAAAAAACGTAACGCTGACTATTGCGGTAGCATACAGGGAAATTGTCCAAAGCTTGTATGCAAAGAGCCTAATTAGACTCCTTAAAATGCTTAAAGCTGTAAAATTACACCAACATTTAGCCGCGTGAGCAAAAAACGGCTTAATACTGTAATTTATATAAAAATCGTAATGAAAAGAATTTATAATTCGCAAAAGAAGAATATTACGTAAAAACAAGCCATTTTATAAATAACACAAAGTGCGTTTAGCAAATGATAAGCGGTCACAAAAATTGGTCTCTAAATGAAGCTGAATTGGTTGGGCACCATATCGGTACTCAAAATCTATTAACTTCTTTGTTCGCTGAATGGCTTAGATATACTTATCTGTATATAAGATCTTGAAGCCTTAAGGATGCCTACACTAGGAAACTTACTAGCTCCTACTAAGGAACTTACCAAAAGAAGAATGAAGGAGACTGTGTTTTCTTTGACCCATAGTTGAATCATATTTTCAAACACGAACAATGCATTTTATTCCCAGCTTTTCAATTTCCTTAAAAATTCATTTCTTAAACTTTTTGCAGATCAGTGTATTCAAAGTCTAGAACTATGAACCAAAATTTGATGTCAATATTTGGACTGAAGTCTATCAGCTACTGCGATTTATGCCTACAGACCTTGAATATGCTAATCTGCACCAAATTCAAAAAGTAATTTGGAAGAAAAGGGAAAAGCTGAAATTTCCAAAGCGGTGTATCAAACAGAAAACGCAGAGGAAATGTTGGGGGGCCTACTGCTGAACCGGACTCCTCGCAGTCATTTTAAGCAGCTAAAGAATACCGGTGAAAAGTGTGTCTGATATTTTATATAGTACTTGTGCAACTTTTCTGATAAATAATTAGATTAATGTCTTGTCCGTCATGGAGCATTCAACTTCTCAACAATGTTTACTTCCTGATCTAGGAAATGCTATGTTATTAAGAGTTCGGCCCATATACAGTGCCCATTTATTCGACATATAAACCATTAAGAGGAAGATCTAAACATATAGTATCTTCATCAACCCTAATAACTAGAAAAGGCAATACATGAGCACATAATTGCGTAAGAACTTTAAAATCGTTAAAAAGAAATACAAAGCCGCTATAGACGCAGAGACGAAGTAACGGTAAATGCATGCTCCTGAATTCTATGCAATATACTACTTGCATAGTATGTTAGTATGTGTGACCGTCTTGTTATAAATAGTAATTTCTGGAAAATCGGCATCCCAAGAAGCATAGTTCGGTAGAAGAAGTTCTTTGGGAAAATTTTGTTTCTTACGATTCCCATCCGTCTGATGACGACCTGGTGAGTCAATGTCGAAAATTCACTCAATAAACAACATTTTACCAAAGAACTTCTTTGACCGAATAGTAATTTCAAATCAGTACTCGATGCAAATTATGATGTTCCTTTACTTCTTACCATATCTTGAAAACGCAATATACAGCATTCATTTGGCCCTAATGCTGCCGTGGTTTTGAATCCAACCGGGGCCGACGACGTCCTCACAACTCAGTTAAATTATTTATTCAAATCGGTTGAAAACATCTATTTATATGCTGTATGGGTGAGTAAAATATCGCCTAGGATAGCTAGGTAAGGAAAGGTGGAACGACTTTTTATGGGACGGGGAAGAGAGCGAGGATAAACTTATCTAAGTCAACGAAGTGTGCAAAAAGTTAAAATCAAATACGAAAGTTGTGACCTTTTGCTAACATAATGCTTAATGGATCGAAATGACTTCTAGGACATGCCATGTTTTCCAGAGCTAATTCTACATACGGTATCCATTTTTTGACATATGACCCCTTAACTAGAAGATATAAGCAAATAGTATTAATTTATTAACTTGAAATGGCAATACTTGATCAAGTAATTGCCCGAGAATTTCGACATAGTAAAAAGAAATTGCAAAGCCGCTGTAGACTCAGAGACAACGCAGCGGTAATTGTTTGCTCCTGAATTTTATGCAATTTTAGTATTCGTGACCGCCTTATTATAAATAGTAATCTCTTATGAGTAGGTTAGACAAAGTATTATTTCCCCTTACTTCTTATCAGGTCTTGAAAACAATATACAGCATTTATTTGAACTAATTGCTGTAGTTGTTTTGAATCTCACTGCGGCCGTCGACGTCTTTGCAACAGAGTAAAATTAATTACATAAACCGATTAAAGTAATCTATTAATATGTTGTATGGGCAGTTATAAGCAGTTATGATAGGTAGATAAGGGAACAGAGGAGGACTTCTCACCGAAGAGGAGGAAGACGAGGATTTATTAGTCAAACTAACCAAAAAAGCAAACATATTCAAGACAACGAAAATTGCAAAAGGTAAAGATCGTATACGAAAATTGCAACTTTGTACAAACATAATGCTTAATGGATCCAAATGATGGCATAAGAAGACAAAGTTTAAATATTTACATTTTAAAGGCTTACTAGGAAAGCTAATCATGACATGAGCAGAGAGAAGTGGTATGTTCGGCAGAAAGTAAAGTTTCTGGCTGTTGACGTATAATAATAACTCCAACCATAATGAAGCTAACAGATTGGACTTTGCTCAACTGTTGACATACTCTCTTTCTGCAATCTGAACCTGTGGTGCCTAACATATTTAGTTTCATTCTACTCTCTGTAGTGAAGAGTAAGCTGTGGCTCGTTTTCGGATGGTTGCGGACTACTTATTTTAAAATATTTTCGATTCTCAGTTAAATTATTCTATCTAATTTAATATGATACGCAATGCATGTATGTCACACGGCAATATTTACAGCTACGTTAATGTTCTGGGAAACGAAAAGACACATAAAACGTTACAAGTGGGACAGTACACGACGGCGTTGCAATTTTTAGTTTATTGGAACGTTATTCAAAGGCATATGAAGCTTTGTCAAATAAAGGTGTGCAAACTGGTGTAGAAGTGTAAATATATCGTCTTCCTCGCTCAAATGCTGGTTTCCAGAATTCTGGCATATCAGATAATTAGAAAAGCAATTTTTCCAACAAATCCAGAACAATGCAATGTAGATTTCGATACTTAAAAACATCAGGAGCAGTCTTCGCTGCTCACAGTCAACGTAGCGGGACCACGACAGTTGAAAAATATTTTCCGTATACTCGGTTTTCGCGCAAAATACAACTTTGTAGGTAGCCTATAAATTGCTAGATAATTGTTTTATAAAGATAACGCCATAAATCAAATGGCTCAAGTCTTCTTAGGTATGAGGAAAATTAATCGTATAGAGCACATATGCGTAACCGCTCACTGGAATGGAGCCAAAAGGTAAGCTATGAATTATCTAACTGTTTTATGTCATACATTTAGGAAAAACAAAAACCCAACATTATGATTGAAAACATCAGTAGAATAAAAATATTGGAATTGTTTTTTTAAAACACATAATCAGAAGTAATCACAAACCCATCAACTTGGGGATCGGTGACTGTCAGGCCTCGAAGCGACTTGTTGATTTTGAACGAAACTGGGAGAACTTTAAGAAGGGCTTCGTCCTATAAACCACACATAAGTAATTTTACAATAAGCGGGGCATGAGGGGAAAATTTAAATACGGCAACCTCAGGCAAGGGATTAAATTCAGCCCTTACGTAAAGGGCCGATAGGGAAGAAAAAGTTTCACGCCTCGCAGTAACCATAATGTCCTTTTTACAAGCTATTTTTCTCCCTCTGAAAAAAGCTAATGATGAAAACTGCGAATGATATCACCATGAACCAGTTAATTAATATTACGAAATTATTTGATAACATACATAATTTTAGTGAGCCGCCAAATAAAATTCCGAAAACGTTTTGCGTTTCTTAGTAATTAAGTGTTTTCAGTGTAATCTATGTTGTAAAATATTTCAAGTTCTGCTACTTGTGCTTATGGTCACATATTATTAATATATGAATTGGTTAAATTAACTCGGAGGGATTTAGCATAACCAACTGACGGGGTAAATCCAAAAATCCTCCAGCAATATCGTGGAATTCGCCCATTATCATTTCTCAAACAAACAGAGACGGTGCACTGGACAAACGCAAGTGGGAAAATACATGTAGGAGATTAAAGTGCGGATAAATTCGAAAAGTGTACAATGATACAATGACTTAAGTGTAAAAAGTCCCCGAACGAAAACTTGTTCAGAAGCTAAAAGATACAGATAAACAAGTGCTACATTCGTCAAAATTTCGTTGTTGGATACTTACTATTGTTGCTCCGCTAAGATCAATAACAGTGGACGATGAAAGGGAAGATGCAGCAACCATCAGAAGTGGGACGTTATCCGACATAAATTTTGATGCATCGAACAATTTAAAGTATCGAATTTGCCCATTCGCTTTTAAAATCGGAAGGCCCTTTAGCAGAGGTCAGTAAATAAAAATAATGAAACCTTTTCTAATGACTCAAGGTCACTATTTTTCAGTTTGATATCCCAAAAATAATTCTTCAGTGTGGGAGCCAGAGGCAGATCCATAGGCTGGGAATCTTTACTGTCGAGTTGTCCACAAGTCTCATCCTCGACTATTTGGCCAATAGCCTCAGATGTTACTGAAAGAGATTCGTCGCTTTTAAACTAGTCAGAGAGCCAACTGCTTACCGATAATTATATCTTGGAAACGTATCCCTCCAGTAGTTCACAACTCTGGTGAGCAAATCCCGACAAAGGTTTTTTTGTTCTGTATTAGACATTGGGATGACCAGCTGACCGTCATTTAAACGAACCTATCAATCATGTGGCAAATATGAACGAAAAGTACTTCCTGCTCAGTTAATTCAATTCGATAAAAGTCCAGAAAATGAAACACTTTCTCTCTTTTGCCTTTCAACTCAAGACATTTTGTGTCGTCCCGCAGATTCTATGAGGAATATGGTTCAATGTTAACGCAAAATCTTACTATTTTGTAGTCAGAAAATTTGCCTTCAAGGCCAATTTTTAACTTCATATGATCCTTTGAATCCATCTTTTAAAAGTGTTTAATGCCAGATCACCGAACTATAGCAGAATGTCAAAACAAATAATAACAATAATACACAATCTGGTCAGTGCAATTTTCGATAAAGTGTATGCGAAGGCCGAATGAATAACGTAAACACGTGATTCATTTAAACAAATCAAACTGTAGAGCTGGAAAAGACTTTATGACAATCATGTTTAGAGGCTGAAGAAAATGAATTTCTGTCATTTCTTCGAGTATACATGTAGGCTGAAATTGGAAGGTTTATGAACTTCAATGTTATATTCAGTACTCTACGGAGGACTTTATGGAAATCTTTGAATTCAGTTCAGTTAGATTAAGACTATTAAGAGAAATAAGCATGAGCATTTGAGAACCCTCTTTGCAGGTGAATATGGAGTGTGGAATAAAGAGGGAAGCTATATGGGTTGCAGAAGTTCAAAGAATATGACAACTGATATGTGTCTCACGAGTGAAGTTACTTTACTCATCGCTCTGGCTTATTTTTCGATATAAGTATGTAAATTTGCTTTCAAGACCTACTATCGAGAGTAAAATCACAACATCTGTGCGGAAAGCATACCATAGTTTGATTAATCTCACGGAGATGGCGCAACTTCGCACATCCAGTCACGCCAGCTGAACTTGCAGTTTTACTGAAGGTCCGCGGAGTTTCGTCGTAGAAAGGCATTTAACAAAACCTCCAGAAACCAGACAACAACTCCAGCTTATCATAATACGTAATGTCTGCGCGGCGTCCCCTCAAAGTTGTTTGTTACTCTAAGGAACCCAGTTATGGTTAATTAAACGTGTTGCCAATGGCAAGCCTCTTTAACTCTTAAACACTATGGTTGCTATCTTCTGATTAATTTTGAGACCATTACTGTCTTGATTTATCCGGAATCCCTATGCTTGTGAAGCGTATTCTCAATATATCCTCATGAATGTTAGAGATGAGATCTTCTTGGACTTGGTCGCTCTTTCTGCGTGTAGATCAAAGTGGCTAATAGAGTTCTCACCTTCGAAGTGTCGATACATGTGTTTGGGCCTAAAAGACTGTCG